CTTTTTTTCTTGTCTTCACCACCTGGCTACTGTTGTAAAACGTTGAGAGATTCAAACAAAAAGTAATCAATACATAGAACAAAATAAAAAATAATAAAGACTGCAAGTGACGTCGCTAGCGGAAGTGCAAGTGTCTGAGAGTGCAAGTCTGAGAATGCATGTCTGAGAGTGCAAGCGCCAGCTGCAGCCAGACCCTTCTCGATTTTTCTGATAAAATTGTGATTTAAAATCAGAATCAGAAAGTGCTTTATTGCCATGTATGTTTGCACATACAAGGAATTTGTTTTGGTGACAGAAGCTTTCACAGCGCAAACAGAATGGCAGTGACAAGACAAGACACAGATAATAAAAATAATAAAAAATAGGATAAGTAAATAGGAAATAACAATATACAAAAAATATTAAACAAAAACAAAATACACAATATACATAATAGACAATAGATGGTATTTGTGTGTACAGGGGTGTATTCCAGAAAGGAGGTTCAAACAGAGTTAAAGCTTGAACTCTGAGTTGACATACCCTGAGATAGGAAACTGAGTTTTCGGTTTCAGAACAGCTAAATTGTGTTAGTTCAGTCGACACTGACTAGGTTGACTCTGAGTTTAGCGCATGCACTATGACTATGAGAAGTCATGATCAATGGAGCGCCGAAATTATGATTCACCATGGCAACAGCACCGACAAAAAGACGTCCGCATACTTCAGTCAATACGTAACTTTAATTCTTAATCAGCGTTATAAATATCAGAGGTAAAAACTGTTAATTATTTAACTATATTTCATTTTCATGGTATCCCACGGCAAAAAAAAAAAAAAAAGAACATAGCAGCATCTAAAAATGAATAATAAAAACACAATTCAATCAAGCTAAAGCTTTAAGCATAAAAGTTTCATGGGTGTAGGCTACATGACTTTACAAACATTTGACATATTAAATATCATTCAGTGTCTAGTTCTGACAAACGCTATCCTTCATGTAGTTGTCATTGTTTTGTCTGATAGGTTTTTGCCGCCTTTGCACTTGGGTGACACCCATAATTGTATCTTTTATGGGAAAAAATTTTTTTCATGGGGTGTGTTCATAGTATTCACATAAATTTTTAAATGCTTTTACTTCAGTGTGACTAACCAAGACTTAAATTATATTTCTGTATTTATATGAAAATGTTAAGTGTCATGTGAGAATATTTAGTCATATGTGTGAAATTTGATCAGATTGCAGTTGATGCTTCATGTGAAATAGGCTACTTTAATATTTAACTTAACAGAAATGCATAACTGTACAGAATAGCTACTATTAAAGTATATAAAACAGTTTTATTTGCGAAAGCATTGTTTGCATACCATTCATTATTATGTATTTTTATTTCTTTGCCTCAGTATAATCTGTTGAATTTAATCTTAATTATTTCTAATTGTTCCACATTCCCCATTAACAAGGACAAAATGCTATTATAAATAATAATGTCTTATTTTTTCTTGGTTAAATACAGGTGAATAAATACATACATATTCACATAAATAATTCTGTTTTGAAAATGCAGGCTTTTCAAAAGGTTTCATTAAAAGCCCATGCCAGGGACACAATGATAACATGTTTCTCATTACCACCCTTTATGTATAGAAACCTTGTTTAACAATAGAAGCTCATTCATGGTCTTATTTTCAAAGTCTCCGCCATGACTGCCTCTGCTAAAGTGAGTCAAGCTTGTGTCAAAATAATGATGCCAGTTCCCGTCACTTTTAGCTCCAAACCCGAAAACATCGACCTATGTGAGAGACAGACAAATCAGTACATCAGTGTTTGAAATGCACTTCGGCTTAGATTCAATTAGACTTTTGTCACAGTCATGTTACTAATGACAAAGAGCAAACAAGTCATGACAGAGCTCATGGTAGCCTACTATGCAAATCCATTTACAAAGTAAACCTTAAACATTGATGGCACACATACTGTATGACGTGGTCACTGTTCACTCGTTGACGGTCTGTTGCATAATGCACATAAAGGCTGCATCTGAATATTTATAATATGCACTCCAAGTACACCAGCTTTCAAAAGTTTGGAGTCGGTAAGAAATAAGTAATTTTTATATTTTTCTATTTTTCTATTTTCAATCAGCATATTAGAATGATTTGTGAAGGATCATGAGACACTGAAGACTGGATTAATGATTATGAGAATTCCGCTTTGCATCAAAGGAATTAATAACATTTTAAAATATATTTAAATAGAAAACAGCTATTTAAAATATTTCATAATATTACTGTTTTTGCTGTAATTTTTAGCAAATAAATGCAAACAATTTACTATGCCTCATCTCTAAATGGCATGTAAAACCCAACCAAACTTTGGTTGGTCCTATTAATCAGATCGTCTCTCAAGACTAGACTTAATGCCGATAGTGAAATGTCTGGCTCTTGACTAACATGGGTAGAGGAAGTAAGACCAGACAGAGTAGTGGTATGCTCTGACTCTGCTTCTGTTTTAACATCATTGACTACTCAGCAATCTTCTAGAGAAGATTTGATGTGTGAAATATTTACATTATTATGGCATATACAAAGAAAAGGAGTGGTAGTTGGATTCTGCTGGGTGCCAGCACATGTGGCAATAGCTGGTAATGAATCTGCTGATGAATTAGCAAAACATGCTTTAAAAAGAGAATAGATTGTAATGTTCCTTTAAGTAAAGGTGAAATTAAAACTATCATTACGGAAAATATTATTAAAGAATGGCAGGACATATGGAATACAGATAATAAGGGAAGGCATTTATATAATATAAAAAATGGTTGATACTAAAAGAAGTGTAAGTGGTAGAAATAGAAAAGAAGAGGTTATAATAACTAGGATGAGATTTGGACACTCGGGATTGAACGCTTCACTGTTCATAACTGGAATACATGAGACTGGTCTATGTGGGAATTGTGGGGAGAAAGAAACAGTGGAGCATGTAATATATAATTGTACAAGGTATGATGAAGAAAGAAAGGAATTAATATCATATTTAAACAAAAAAGGTAAGGTAAATAAGGATTTGGAATACTTATTAGGATATGAGTTTAACAGAGATAGAGAAGGATACAGGATATTAATAAAATACATATATACTACTGGGTTAAGTGAAAGGATTTAAATATAGAATGCGGATGCTCTATTCTATTCTGGATCTTTAGGAGACCACGGATTTAGTCTGGAGGAGCTGAACACGCAGCGCCAGGTGGAGCCTGGGGAGAAGGAATGGGATGGAGCATCGAATAATTAAGTAGGAATATTTGTGTATATACGTGTGTAAGAACAGGAAAAGCAAAAACAAGGAAGAAATTGATTATAAATAAACCATAACTGCATAACAGCAAAAGTAGGTGGCGATATGCACACAGGATGAAACACGCCAAAAAACGGAAGATGATGTTCAAATAGCTGATTTGCCACAAGGAAAAGTGCATAGGCTACGCCTGCTCAGACCCTGACATGACGGTAAGTAGCCTACTTTTCCACATCAAAGACCGATTTTATAAATATGAACGTTGCCGTGGATTTTAGTGTACGCACACTCTAAGATCAAATCTGTGCGTACGCACATTTTATAAATGAGGCCCCTGCTTTAGAAGAACGGTTTGTCTTGAAATCATCCATCGCTAATTCTCTCATCAATTTTCATAAACACAGCGAGGGCCATTGTTTTCAGTGAATAATGCTTATTACTTAGTCTGTTTCTTATAGAAGACATTTCCCTCTTTAGCCTATACTTTTGTTTAAACAGACATTTATTAATCTCGTGGTTCTTGGAAAAAAGCCCACTGTGAGTAACGTTAAAATCTCGTGACAGGTGATCAGCAGGTGGTAAATATTTATAATCAGATAAAAATGTATGCTGCACACCTCATTTACAGAAGAACATTCAACATATGCTGGAGTCCGAATTTGACAAATATAACAACATCTGACTGATAGTGACGTCTTTTGAATTTTATTGACCACCATAGGCCTAATGTATTAGTGTGCTGTAATGCCATTAACTTTGTAATCGGGAAAGACAGCTGGAAGATGGTTATATAGCCCCCATAAAGACAGTCAGTGTTTATGGGGGCTATATAGGGCATATACAAATATAGATAAATAGTTTGCTTGCAGTTTCTCACGAAGTCTTAAATATTCCCTTATTTTAGTATGTTCATAGAGGTTGGATTACTAGCCCAAGTTAAAAACTGCATTTGCTATAATTCATCTTTTTATTTTATATTATTTTTATTTTTCACTCAGCCAAAACATTTAGACATTTTAGGTTCACCAAGGCAGGCACACCAGTTATGCAAATCCGGATTTTTTTTTTCTTCTTGACCATTTTCTATTCTTCAGTCATTCAAATTATAGAATACAGCAAAGCATACATGTGTAGACTCATTGTTTACGGCGGCGTTCTAAATCACCCACAGATGCTGTGCAATGAGGTACAGGGTTCAGAATACACATGAATACTATGGTAGTCACAATGATACAGAGATGCACACGTCATCGATCTTTTATGTTCAAGAGTTTTTGTGACAAAACAAAAAGCCTTTAGGTGCAACCTGACAAAAAAAAAGCAATGTAAATCATGTATGCAATAGGCATGGACGCATACATAGTAGATAACACATGTAGTGTAATTTAATACTTCAAAAGAATGCAAGGTAAAAAATTCTGCACTGACAAATAGTTATTATCATAATGACATGTCTTAATTGTTTCTTGTATGGGACAAAGAAATAATGTTCATGGGGTGTGTTCATAGTATTCACATACATTTTTAAATGCTCTTACTTCAGTGTGAATAACCAAGACTTCACCTTTTCATATAAATACAGAAATATAATTTAAGTGTCATGTGAGAATATTTAGTCATGTGATAATTTGTGAAATTTCATAAGACTGCAGTTGGTTTCATGTGAAATCTACTTTAATATTTAACTTAACAAATGCATAACTGTACATAATACTATTAAAAAGTATACATTTAAAACGGTTTTGTTTGTGAAAGCATTGTTTGCATACCATTCATTATTCAATCTTATGTATTTTTATTTCTTTGCCTCAGTATAATCTGTTGAATTTAATCTTAATTATTTCTAATTGTTCCACATTCCCCATTAACAAGGACAATATGCTATTATAAATAATGTCTTATTTTTCTTGGTTAAATACAGGTGAATAAATAATACATAAATATTCACATAAATAATTTGTTTTGAAAATGCAGGCTTTTCAAAAGGTTTCATTAAAAGCCTATGCCAGGGACACAATGAGAAAAATTTTATCATTACCACCCTTTATGTATAGAAATCTTGTTTAACAATAGAAGCTCATTCATGGTCTTATTTTCAAAGTCTCCGCCATGACTGCCTCTGCTAAAGTGAGTCAAGCTTGTGTCAAAATAATGATGCCAGTTCCCGTCACTTTTAGCTCCAAACCCGAAAACATCGACCTATGTGAGAGACAGACAAATCAGTACATCAGTGTTTGAAATGCACTTCAGTTTAGATTCAATTAGACTTTTGTCACAGTCATGTCACTAATGACAAACAAGTCATGACAGAGCTCATGGTAGCCTACTATGCAAATCCATTTACAAAGTAAACCTTAAACATTGATGGCACACATACTGTATGACGTGGTCACTGTTCACTCGTTGACGGTCTGTTGCATAATGCACATAAAGGCTGCATTTGAATATTTATAATATGCACTCCAAGTACACCAGCTTTCAAAAGTTGAGTCTGTAAGCAATAATTAATTTTCATATTTTTCAATTTTCAATCAGCATATTAGAATGATTTGTGAACGATCATGAGACACTGAAGACTGGATGAATGATGATGAGAATTCCGCTTTGCATCAAAGGAATAAATAACATTTTAAAATATATTTAAATAGAAAACAGCCATTTTAAAATGTAATAATATTTCACAATATTACTGTTTTTACTGTATTTTTTTTTATCAAATAAATGCAAACCATTTACTATACCTTGTCTCTAAATGGCATGTAAAACCAAAACAAACTGTGGTTGGTCCTATTAATGAGATAGTCTCTCAAGACTAGACTTAAGACTCCACCCCAAAATGAAAATTGTCATTAATCACCCCCCCCCCATGTCGTTCCAAACCCCTAAAAGCTTTGTTTGTCTTCGGAACACAATTTAAGATATTTTGGATAAAAACCGGGAGGCTTGTGACTGTCCCACTGACTGCCAAGTAAATTACACTGTCATGGTCCAGAACAATTCGTCTCCTCTGTGTCTCTCCGCATCACCGTAGCGCTATTTTGGAGAATAACCACTGAACGCAAGCAGCGTACGCTCTTCTGTGTCAGCCGTGACACAAGGATGCGTTTTCTACATGTATTAACACTTTGATTTGAACGAAAACAGTGGATCCGTGCAGCGCAGCTGACACAGAATGGCGTACGCTGCTTGCGTTCAGTGGTATTCATTTTTTTCATTTCATTTCTTTATATAGCACAAATAAACACAACAGGAGTTGACCACAGTGCTTTACAGAATATAAAACTAAGATACAGATAAAGAAAGAAAGCAATAAGACATAAAAATAAATAGAACATAATTAAGAATTGCTAAAAAGCTCGGGCCAGAAGATAAGACTTTAACTTCGATTTAAACTCATGTACAGAGGACAGGGATCTCAGATAAAAAGGAAGACTGTTCCAGAGCCTAGGTCCAACAACGGCAAATGCACGATCCCCTCTTGACTTCAGTCATGTTCGAGGCTGAGCTAGAGAGTAATTGTTTGCGGACCGCAGACACCGGACTGATGTGTTCAGATTTAAAAGTTCAGACAGGTACGAGGGTGCAAGACCATTAAGGGATTTAAAGACAAACATCAATATTTTAAAATCGACTATGACGAACCGGCAACCAATTTAGAACCTAGAGGTAACATATATAATGAAAACAGAGTTGGGGACAAAATGGATCCTTGAGGACCACCACAGGTAAGAGGAGCTATGGATGAGACAGCGTCTCCAGTCAACTGAAAAGGTCCTGTCAGTAAGAAAAGGGACAGTCACAAGCCTCCCGGTTTTCATTCAAAATATCTTAAATTGTGTTCTGAAGACGAACGAAGCTTTTACGGGTTTGGAACGACATGGGGGGGTGGGGAAGTGATTAATGACAACTTTTATTTTGGGGTGGAGCATCCCTTTAATGCCGATAGTGAAATGTCTGGCTCTGCGAGACAAATGTTAGAGGAATTGAAATAAGAGGCAAAAAAAACTTCTACCTGATCACAGATGTGCAGAGCGAATATCAGTGTAATGAATCCAGTGGATGGGTATCTGCCATGTTTCTGCAGCCAGCTCTCATAGACATATTTAATGAATTCAGGATGGATGATCATCACCTTAAAGACAAATCAAAACAATTATTGACTTAATCATGCATATTTGTTCAGGAAAACTATGTAGATCAATATGTGAAAGTCAAAAGTTATATGTTGATTGATAGATATGATTCTCACCTGGTCTCTGTTAGCGTTTACTGTAGGTCTCACTCTAATGTAAGTGCTGAAGAAACACAAAGATTCATTAAATTAAGATGATTGCTGTAAAATGTCTGAAGGCCTGTTTCTCTTAAATCTGTGAGTGAATATTGATGAAAATCTCAACCGTGTGATGTGTTTAGTGGTGAAGGCACTGATGAGCCAGCGCATGTCTTTGATCTTAAAGGGCAGAAGAACCAGGTGGGTTGAGTTGTCTACATCCACGGCGCTCTCAGGGTAGAGAATCCGGTGAGTGGTCTTAGACCCCACATCCTTCTCATAACCTTCTGTTGGACCCTTGTTTATCCTGAGCATGAAAATGCATTTTAACAATTATCTTTGGTCGTATACATTGTCAAGACTTCAAAATTGAAAATAACTGACCTTATGACAAAGTCATGAAGATCTATGAGAGGCCCATAATGGGATCTCAGGACAACTAAATACAGGCCAATATAATCTCATGTACCTCATGACAAAGTCATGGAAATCTATGAGAGGACCATAATTGGATCCCAGCAGGTTCCCAGAGTTTCCCACCACAGCACAGGTTCTGCAGCGATCTGGACCGGCATCCGAGTAGTGCTCTTCATCAGGAAAGACAGAAAACAATGTGTCCACCACATCCGTGTAGGTAACCTTATTGGTCTCAGTTTGTAGACCCTACAAATATTAAAACATATGATCAGTTTGAGCCTTCAGAAGAGGATTCTGGGAAAACACATTTAAAAAAAAAAAAATAAATGAAAACAAAAATACAAATGTTAATATTAGTTTAGCTAATAAAGTAGTCCACAAAATCTTAAATATTAGATAATTACATAGAAATACAAAATTTGTCTCTGCCAAGATTTAAATCTTTGAGGTAAAATAATTACTTTGAAATTAACTTAATTTCTTTCCATTTTTATAATTTCCTTGAAGCACAGTAAACAAATATTATTGAAACATTTTATAAGCAGAAATGCATACAAAAATTTAAAAAGATCTAAGAAAATGTCATGAATATTATCTTAGGAAGAACACGTTGGCGGGGGAAAAAAAAAAAAAAAAAACCTTGGTTTGTGCTACCTCCAAGTGTTTGACAATCACAAATTCCCCTTCTGGAAAAACCATTGCCATTATTCTTCACTGGAATCTTTTATATCTTTCTTTATTTCTAAAGAGTTTTGACATACAGGTGCATCTCAATAAATTAGAATGTCGTGGAAAAGTTCATTTCAGTAATTCAACTCAAATTGTGAAACTCGTGTATTAA